ATATAGAAGAAATTTCATGGGAGAAAATGATTCAATATTTGGAAAAGAATAATTTACCAAAAATTTCAGAAAACTTTAAAATCATGTTAAATGAAAAAATAACAATGAAGGAAGTAACAGAGGCTATAAGAAGACAAAAAAAGGGGGGGGAAAGGCCAGGACCAAATGGGCTACTGGCAGAGTTATATAAATGCTTACAAGACACATTAAGTGCACCATTGAAAGATGTGTATAATGAACTTTTGTTGGAAGCGAAACTTCCAAGTACATCGACAGAAGCAAATATTACTTTAATACCAAAAGAAGATTCAGATTTGACTCAGATAAAAAATTGAAACTGGAAAAATGAAAAAACTTGCAATTGTCGATGTTAGGAAAAATTATTATGGTGAAAATGAATATATTACCAAAAATACTGTTTCTATTTCAAATGATACCTATAAAACTAGAGAAGTTTTTTTGAAGACTTAAATTCATTAATTTTGAAATTTATTTGGCAAGGAAAGAAAACTAGAATTAAATTGAAAATGCTACAAGAAACCAAGGAAAATGGAGGTTTTGGCTTGCCATAGTGGGTTTTATATTATCAAGCATCTGTATTAACATGGATAAAAGAATAAATAACTCTCAGAAACAAAAGATTGTTATATTTGGAGGGACATGATTTACAACTTGGTTGGCATGCATTTTTATGGTATGGGAAAAATATAATGCATAAGTACTTTCAGAACCATTATATAAGAAATGCATTACTATTAACATGGGGAAAAATAAAATGTAAAATATATTTGAAAATACCAGGATGGCTTTCAACAATAGAAGCATTTATACATCCAAATTTAGTTAACTTTGAGAAAATATGGACATATAGAAATATTCTAAATTCTGAAGGGAATTGAAAATCTAAACAAGAGATGGAAAATCAGGGTGTAGATCTATCATGGTGGACATACTTATTAATGCAAGTTAGATATGATAAAGATGTTAAACTGTATGGATTTTATAAAGAACAGACCTTGTTTGATCAGATATTATTAACCTCTGATAAGAAACTAAATAAGAAAATTTATAAATTTTTATTGAATTTGAAAATGGAAGATGAACAAGTTAAAGAAACAGTGATAACATGGGCAAAGAACTTTGGATATAATGTAAAATTAGAAAAATGGCAAAACTTGTGGGAAAGAAATTATAAACTGACAATGGCAGCTTCTTATAAAGAACATTTATATAACATGTTTTATAGATGGCACTTGCCACCAGCAAGAGTGACAAAAATGTTTAAAAATATGTCATATAGATGTTTGAAATGTAAACATAAGGCAGGTACTTATTATCATGTATGGTGGACATTTGTTGAAGCAAAGAGGTACTGGGAAAAAAAATACATACTTGGCTAGAAAAGGTTGGGAAAACATGTAGATTTTAAACCGGAACTTTTTTATCAGGTATTATGCCAGAAAAGATTGATAAACAAAGTATATATTTGATTTTACATGTGATAACAGCGGCAAGAATCATATTTGCACAATATTGGAAAAAGGAAAAATTACCATCAGAAGAAGAAATAATTTAAAAAAATATTAGAATGTGCAAAAATGGACAGATTTACTATAACAGACATGTCAAACATAAGGCCCGGGGGCCGGATGCGGCCCGTGAAGTGGTTTCATGTGGCCCGCGAAGCCACCCTGGAAATAGTGAGGGAACAGTCCCCGCTGCCCTGGCCCTGGCCCAGGCTGGCCGGGAGCCAATGTACAATTTTGTGGTGACCATCTATGCTGAAGCGCATTCAGTCTTAGCTCCACAAGGCCATCTGGAAACAGTGAGGAACCAGCCCCTGCCACGTTGGCCCTACCCCCTGGGTGCATGCTGGGGAGGTGTCATCCTTTATGAGGAATGAAGAAATGCACCATCGCCTGGAAGTGGCCAGCAAATGGTCCTCGCCTACTTCACATATCTGGCTTGATGGGCTCTGGGGGAGGGGTTTTAGCAGCAGCGGGACACTATCCTCACAGCACCGAGAGGCTGAGCCTGGCAGCGCAAATCCAAAAAGAAACAGAAGGCCACCCAGCTCCCAGCCTGCCCAGTTTCAGCAGGCAGCAGGGCGCTCTCCTCACAGCGCCAAGAGCTGAGCTGGGTGGCGTGAATCTGATGAGAAGTGCAATGCTGTCTAGCCCCCAGCCTGCCCAGTTTCAGCAGGCAGCAAGATGCAAAGTTGGCGAGCTTCACACCGCCCAGCTCAACCTCTCGGCGCTGTGAGGAGAGTGCCCCGCTGCCTGCCAAAACAATGCCCACCCAGTAGGCTACACCCATTCCATCCACACCCACCCAGTAGGCCACACCCACCCTGGCCACACACCCTGCTCCCCCCTGAGGGCAACCGCAATGCTGATGTGGCCTTCAGTGAAATTGAGTTTGACACCCCTGTACTATGGGGTTTAAAGAAAAAGAAGAAACAGAATACTATCAGACTTGGGACTTGTTTTATCAATGGCTGGAGAAAAGAATAAAGGATTAGGAATTAAATTTGTATTAATGAATGATAAACTCAGACAACATGTTGTTAAATAAGCACTATTGAATTATATGGAAAAAAATAATAAAAAATTTACAAAAAAAAAGAAAATAATCCAACCAGTGTCTTAAACTTTAAAAGAGCTGATTTTAATAAACTCAGAGAGAGCCTAGGAAAAATTCTATGGATGAAAATTGTAAAGTGGAAAAAAATTCAAGAAGTGTGGGAAACTGACAAATGCGATCATAAAAGCCCAGACCAGCATAGCACCACTGAAAAAAAAACCTGAGAAACCCAAGAAGAAATCGCATGGCTGCACAAAGATCTCTCTGACAAACTGAAAGACAAAAAGGACAAGGAGAAAAAATGGAAAGAGGGACACATAACTAAAGTTGATTATCAGCAGGCAGCCAGAACATGCAAAGATGAAATCAGGAAAGCAAAGGCTCAGAACTTGCAATAGAAATCAAGGATAATAAAAAAAACTTTTTTCAACATATCAATAACAAGAAAAAAATCAAGGAAACTATAGGTCCACTAAAGAGAGAAGATGGCAAGGAAGTAACAGGCAGTAGGGAGAAAGCAGAGCTACTTAACTCATTGTTTGCATCAGTTTTCACACAAAAAGTAATTATAACCAACATATCAAGAAACCTACTCTAAAAGACAAATTAGAAACAAAAATTAAAATAGGCAAGAAAATGGTAAGAGAACACCTATCTGACCTTGATGAATGTAAATCACTGGGACCCGACAGATTACATCCCAGAATTCTGAAGAAGCTGGCAGATATTATCTCAGAACCATTGCACCATATTTTTCAAAAATTCTGGAGCACCAGGGGAGTTCTTGAGGATTGGAAAAGAGCTGATGTGATTCCCATCTTCAAGAAAGGGAGGGGGAACCAGACCCAGGAAACTACAGATCAATCAGCCTAACATCAATACCTGGGAAGATCCTGGAAAAAAATAATCAAAAAACAGATCTGCAAACAACTAGAAGCAAACAAAGTTATAACTAGTAGCCAGTTTGTTTAAAACAGTCAAACTATGTCACCAATCTTATTTCATTCTTTGAGGAAGTGACTAAATTAGTAGACCAGCAAAATGTAGTGGACATAGTATACTTAGATTTCAGTAAAGCATTTGACAAAGTAGACCACAACTTACTGCTTGGTAAGCTAGAATAAAGTGGAATAGACAACATCAACACCAGATGGATCTGTACCTGGCTGACAAACCATACTCAGGGAGTAGTCCTCAATGGCACTACATCCACATGGAGAGAAGTAAGCAGTGGGGTACCACAAGGCTCCATCTTAGGCCCAGTACTCTTCAATATCTTCATTGTTGACTTAGATGAGGGAATAGAAGGGGAACTCATCAAATTTGCAGATGACACTAAACTGGCAGGAATAGCCAACACCCCAGAAGACAAGCTCAGGATCCAAAAAGATTTTGACAAACTTGAACAATGGGCCCTGTCCAACAAAACGAGTTTTAATGTGGAGAAAAGCAAAGTTTTACATTTAGGCAGGAAAAATCAAAGGTATAAGTATAGAGTAGGCAAGACCTGGCTCAAAAACAGTAACTGTGACAGCGACCTTGGAGTCCTAGTGAATGATCACTTGAATATGAACCAGCACTGTGCAGCAGCAGCCAAAAAAGCTAATATAATCCTGGGTTGTATAAACAGAGGCATAGAATCAAAATCATGCAAAGTATTAGTACCACTTTATAAAACCCTAGTAAGACCACACCTGGAATACTGCAACCAATTTTGGTCACCATACTATAAAAAAGATGTTGAGACTTTGGAAAAAGTTCAGAGAAAGCAACTAAAGTGATCAAAGGCCTGGAAACTAAAACACATGAAGAAGGGTTGCAGGACTTGGGTTTGGCTAGTCTAAAGAAAAGAAGAAATAGGGGTGATATGATAGCAGTATTCCAGTATTTGAGGGGCTGCCATAAAGAAGAGTGGGTCAAATTATTCTCCAAAGCACCAGAGGGAAGGACAAGAAACAATTATTGGAAACTGATCAAAGAGAAAAGCAACCTGGAATTAAGGAGAAACTTCCTAACACTGAGGACAATTACAGCTTACCTTCAGAAATCATGGGCATTCCATCCCTGGTGGTTTTTAAGAAGAGACAAAACAGTCACTTGTCTGAAATGGTATTTATTTATTTATGAGACTTATATACCGCTTTAAGTGCAAGCACTCTCTAAGCGGTGTACATCAGTAAGCAATGTATATATATATTTACATTGCCCCCAACAATCTGGGTCCTCATTTTACCTACCCCGGAAGGATGGAAGGCTGAGTCAACCTTGAGCCGGTGAGATTTGAACCGCTGACCTGCTGAACACAGTCAGCTAAAGTGGCCTGCAGTACTGCACTCTAACTGCTGCGCCACCTCGATATAGATTCTTGAGCAGGGAATTCTATTCTATTCTATTCCTATTCTGTTCTATTCTATTCTATTCTACTGTACTCTACTCTACTCTACTCTACTCTAAACAATTTTATATTTGCTCCCTCCCCCCTTCCCATATGTTAAGTTACATTACTGAAAAATCTATGTCCTATACATGCAATAGTTAAAGATGAAAAACCATCTATCATTCATTATATCTAATCATTCTTTCTAGTTTTTTCATTATTTATTAAACCCTGCAGTCCTTCACAGTGAAGACAAATTAGAAATAAAGCTGATTTCTGAAGAGCTCCACAAACTATAGGATTGTGAAACATTCTTACAGGCTGTTAATTCCCTCTAATATGTTAATGTAGGCTTTAAATGATTCAAATGATTTGTGTTTTCTGCTTGATTTAAAAGATCATCTGAAGATTCTGATTCAGGTTCTGTTCAAGAAGTGCTTTACTTTAATCAAACCATAGACAAAACACCCTTTAATCTAGTTTTTCAAAAGACAGTTGTGCCCAATTTTAGGAAAATCAAAACAGCTGTTATGCTGGCTTTTCATGGCATTTTCATCAAAGTAAGGCAGAGCAAAGTGGCTGACCTTGATTCTTTTGATTGGAGGCACCAAGGCATCAATCAAAGCACTTTTCTATGCTTCATTATCATTTACCAACAAAAACAAGAACCAGTGGTGGGATTCAAATATGTGAACAACCAGTTCTCTGTGTGGATGCTGCTTCTAGAAGTCCATTCTGGGCTTGAGCAACAAAAAATTAGCTACCAGTTCTGCTGAAGTGGTGCAAACCGGCTAAATCCCACCACTGACAAGAACACTTTCTTTATAAGTTAAGGGTTGTGTGCAAATTGGTATAAATTTGTTTAAAAAATAATAAAATACCCTACCTCATTTTGATTTGAATTTTTTTAATTATTGGGATTTTGACTTGCCTTTTTTGCTTAGTCTTACACTTTTGCAGAAATACTTCTTGCAGCAAAACAGACAACCCTTCAGTGAGATAAACAGAAAAAGGAATGTTGCAGCCGAAAGGACGGCAATGACATCAATGGAATAGTACTGGATCCAGTTGAGGTCATGAGCTGCTGGACGCAAATGGGGAGCTCCGTTGTGCTTCATGACAAACTCCACCCAATGAACTGCCAGATCAAGAGGTTCAATAGGTCTGTCTAAATGAAGAGCTGAAAGACGCTGAATGTTCTCTTTATACCTAAAAGCATTGGTAAACAGTAAGATTTTAATTAAAATCCTCTTGAATAAAAAGATACCTAGGAAAATATAATACAAAAAATCATGGTTGATTGCTAAGTCTTCTTTATATAGAAGATAGGGGATATGGAAGGAGAAATTCTGTACCATAGTTTTTTATGCTAGGTAAGGCCTAGACCAGTAATGGCGAATCTTTTAGAGAGTGAGTGCCCCAAAACTGGCCCCGCTCCTGCCCTGCCCTGCCCACCCCCACTCCACCCCCACTCTGCCACCGCCCCACCCACCCACCACCTCCATGGCCTACCGCAGATCGCCCAGGCAGCCCAATAGCGTCATGGCAGCCACGCCCTCCGTCCGCACCCCACAGCCTCATCTGCATGCGATGGGGCATGAGGGCGGGATCATGTCCCCACTGCCTGGCCGCCATGTCCTTGACTGCACTGCTCTGTGCTGGCCACACTTGGGGGAGAATCTCCTCTGGGGGGGCTGCTGGTGAGGAGGGGGCCATGGGGGGAGGTGGGGCTGGGGCAATGGCACATGTACCCATAGAGAGGGCTCTGAGTGCCACCTCTGGCACGCATGCCATAGGTTCACCACCACTGGCCTAGACAAATCAAACCAGGCCTCATGGACCGATAGTGAAGTTTGTGCTATAGCCAGTTTCACAATTCAAAAGAAATATTTGTAATCTAAACTGTAACTGTGCCTTGCTCAAAAGAATTTTGCAAAGTTGCCTGTTTTATATGTATATTTAGAACATAATGGTTGGAACGCTGGGAAATAAGGAACTGAAACTAGCAGATGGATGCGAGTTTCATATGTACACATGTAAGAACAGTTATGTGGAAAATTGTGGTCAGAAGAAAGTACAAGGAACTGATTCCTTGTTATTGCGAGTCCAAGTGGCCATCTGTATGTGGTTTAGGGGACAATTAAGGTATGAAAGATTGATGGTGGACCTCGTTCAAGGCCACTTGGCCACTAACTGTCACTGCTATGACTGCTAGTCCAAAACTGGTCCTCATTGTAATGGGTTGTTGAATGTAAGAATTTAATGTGTGTTCTAAATTTCAATAAAGTAAACTTCTGAATTCTAAAGTGAGATGCTTTTGATGTGTTGTCTCTTTTCTTCATTGGATTTTCCCCCAACAGTTTGGTGCGCTGGCTGGGAAGAGAGAGAAGCTGAAACAGACCTAATGTCCAGTTGGGGCTTCTGACCATCCCCAGGTTTGGACCATAGGCAATCAGCCCACTCTTTCTCCATGTACCCACATTTCCATTTTGGATCAGAGGTAAGGAGGTGCCCCTTTTTGGGACCCCTGTTTGTCTCATCCCATTTTGGTGACACGAGAAGGGTCACAACCAGATGTGCTGTGGGGTTGATGTAAGCGTGTGATAGTTGTGCCCTGGACGCAAAATTGTCAGGATCATCAAGTCTCTGGCAGGGACCCGAAGACGAACTGATGTTCCTGGGGGCTGATCCCCCCCTTGTATTGGTTGGGGTCATACCCCAGGTGAGTGTCATGCCCTCGTGTTGTGTCTTGTGGCCTCATTTTTGATGGTGTGATTCACCCTCTGTAACGATACTCAACAAGGAAGGTAGTTATGCTATTTCATGAGGTTGTTCTGTTAACATTGATAGTTGATAGATAATTCTGTTGTGAAGTTGCTATGTTCTTGATACTGTTTTTTTGAATTTTGTATGTTGCTATTGGTTGCCTTTTTGCTTTGAACTAATGTTCTTCACCCTTTCATCGACAAATGGTAAGATATTATTTAAATTGTCTTTTTGTTATTAAAGGTTATTGTCTTTGCCTTTTCCTACCCACCATAGTATGTGTCTTCTTTGTGGCTGTGTTTTCATGGTTGTTGTTGCTGTTGTCATTGCATATATTGTACTATTGTTTGCAGAAGATGTGTTTGCCTTAATGGATCTTGTGCAGTATATTTTGATTCACTTCTAATGCTGATTTTGCTTGGAGAGTTTTAAGCATTGCTATTATCCTGAATTTTTGTATTTAGAAGTGCTGGCCATGCTTGAACCTACTCTGTGCATTTACCATTTACACTTCCCTTCCTCAGTCTAATCCTTTTTACCTCTTCCTCCAGAATTTGGGGGGAGAATTGAATACTGAGTATTCCCTGCTACAACCATTTGAGCTGGGACTGCTTGTTGTTTGCCTTGCCCCTTGACCATATCTGTTTGATAAGCCATATGTGTAAGTTTTGTGATTGCAAATGTTGGGTTGTTGCTATCATTGCATTAATTGTCATATAGACCATGCTGAATGTGCTTATTTTAATTGGTCTTGTGATAAAACTTCTTATTATGATTCTGAATTTGTTGCATTAGCTGATGCTGTACTTGCCTCGATTCTTTCTCCTGATGAGGGCTATGAGTCTCAGTGATGAGACTATATGAGCATTTCAGAGTCTCTTTTTCTGGCATTAATAGTTTATAGCAAGCGGCTTCCAGTTCCGGTGCCAGCGGACAGACGGGGACAGTCTCATCTCCACCATCCGGTTTTCCCTCGTTGAAAGACCCTGGAAAGGGTTGAAAGTCACCCTAGAGGGGCAACCACTGCTGAGGAGGACCCCTGCTTGAGCATGGAAGGGTGGCAGCCCTCCCACTCAGGCTGAGGCAGCTCCTTTGGATCGACGAGGAAAAGACCAGCCCTCAACATGGCCGATCATTTAGCTGCACCAGCCAAAAGCCAAAAGCACTATTAAGCACAACGAAGCACCGTGGAAGATCTGGGTGAGACCCTTCCTTTCCTCTCTTCTACCTTCACTACCTTCCTGTAAAAGCCTCTGAAATTTTTTCCCCACTCTTAATACAGCAGCTTTTATACACCTTGGGAATTTAAGCATGGAAACTAAAAAAAAAGAATGACTACTTTTTTTAACCAAATAAGTGTATTTTTACTTTTTGGATGCTTTGGGGTCCTAAATGTTTTTATTATAGAGACTGAGCATTTTATCTATCTTAACTCTGAAAAATACCCTCTTTTTTTTTTAACTGTATAAAAGCATAATTGCTGTTTTGGAAAAAACTTTATAGCCTACTGGGGACATCTTGTGGTGAAACTTGGCACAGCAACAGAATTTATCTGATTGTTAAGCTTGTTGGCTTTCTTGATTTGTCCTTCATACTATCAAAAAAGATAAGAATTGGAAACAGCTGGGCAGTGAGAACAACTTCTAGAAACTGCGGAGGCAGAAATTGACTGATTTTTTCTAAACATAGCTTCCACTGGATTGGACTGGCTGGAGCAGCAGCAGCAGGCAAGTAGGCTCTCTGCTTTTAACCTAGATTAAACCAACTTACTGTTTTAATTTTCTTAATTTTAAATCTCTTACATTTTTGAAACTTTATGCAGTGTGGCCACTAATCCACTTAATCCACACTCAGCTATATTTCAGCTACAGGTTAGCTATATTTTAGCTGTATTTTTGATATCCCAAGCTGGGCCTCAGCTATGGGAATGCCTTGCTGCTGCTTTTTGTTGTTGCTATATAGGTTTTTCTGCTTTGTCAGGAAACCTAGTATTCTCTAGTTTTGAGTGATTTTTATTTGATCTATTTATTTACCTACTACTTTTCACCATTTTTCTTTTTACTATTTTCTTTTTATTATTTTACTATTTTGTGATTTTTATTCACTCCCTACTCCCTGCTTTGGCAGAGGGTAGGATTCTTGCCTTACTTGTGAGGAGCCTTGTTATTGTTTGCATCGGGACTTGCTTTTTCTTGACTCTTGGCCCTTGGCTTCTTTTTTTTTGGGATCCAGGACTTGTCTTGGGGATTAGTCTCTTGTTATATTACACTGCTCCTCCTTTATTGTGTTATTTAACACAATGAAGTCAAAGAAAAGGTGCAGATCCCTTACTGACCTGGTTCCTCAACCTTCTTTGAAGCAATCCAAGACGGAAGACTTTGTTTTGGCTCGGCCTCTTTGTTTGAAAACCCCAGCTCTGTCAGAATCCAATTATATTTCATCTCTAGTTATCGACTATGGAAAACCCCATTTCTGCCCTCTCTGGATTCTGTCATACAATGAAGGGGAAGGGGGGTGAACAAAGGGGTTTTATGGCCCTCACTTCCTTCGATTGAATGTGGATACCACCAAAAGGACTAAATCATAACAATGGGGCCATCAGCTTTCATCTACTCTCTGAAGTCTCCCTTCCATCGGAAGTGAGGAAAAAGGGGGTGGAAATGTAACGCCTAGGATTGTTGCTGGAAAGATGGTGGGGTGGGGTGGGGCTGCTGGGGACCCCTTAAAACCTTGAACCATAGGGCTTGGGCCCCAGGTCCTGTCTAGAACGCCTGCAACCATTTTCTCTTAATAAAGGATGCCTGTTGGAAGAAATATTCCAAGAGTTCTGTCTTCTTAAGATGCAAAGTGGGGTGGGTCCTTACAAGCTCCTTTTTTCTGGCTCCTGCCAGTCATGGCGATCCTTCGATGGCTGAGGGTGTCACCCCTTGAGTTGAGAACAAAGGCTCCTCTAAAGCTACGGTCCCCAATTGATCTTTAAACGAGCTCACTCTTACAGAACTTCTGGCTCAGCAATGTTTCCTGGTTGCAGAAACAACAGCAAGCATACAGCTCCAGCTTGATAATATAATAAGTACCCTAAATTATTTAGTTTCTTGGGTTGCCAGTGGTAGTGCTGGGCCAGCCACTCGGAATCCTGATGCGGTAGCAGGGCTTCCCTTGTCAAGCCTCAGCAAAAGATCTGCTCAATGTAACCCTATCAACAGTTCGAACTCCATTTCCCTAGATGCAAACAGTCACCTGGTTTTACAGCCAAAACAGGTGGCCCTAAATATCAATCCTATTAACAGCTACTTGCTGTGCTGGAGCTCAATATGGCTGGCAAGAGGTCATATACTACAACTATTGGGGTTGGAAGCTGATGATTTGAAGAAGGTTGAATTTTTACCCTCCTCTATATACTGCACTCGAGTGTTACTTAGTTTTGACAATTCTAACACCCC